GAGAAAGAAATAAAGCTGCACAAAAGGCATCACAGCAAAGCACTAAATTTCACTTCAATTGCAAGGCTCCATGCTTGGCTGAAGTCATTGCTCACGATCACTACGTAGCAGTGGCTCTGCCTCTGGAGGCACGCAGATACAGTGCTAACAGATTCCACATCCCAGGCTCTCCTGCTCCATCCATCACGTGGTAGGACCTCTTCTCAATAAACTACATCTTTGCAAGGGGAAGATCTCTACTTGCTCATCATCATTTCTCAATAAGCTACAGAGCAGCAGCAGCTGCAGAACGTGAAGCCAGGAGTGCAGCTCTGCATACCTGGGTGCAGGAGGGGAACATTCCCTGCATCGGTGCCCTGGAACATCATCTCACACCAGGAGCAAAATGAGACAGAAAAACAAAGCTGCCCCAGAGGTGAGAAATATCATTGCTTGAGGTGCTGGGGTTTGTGTTACAGCTGCTATATGGGAGAGCAGCAGCAACTGATGGATGGGACAGCAGAATGGCCTCGAGTTGCACCAGGGGACGGGCAGGTTGGGTGTCTGGGGTGCTCCAGGGTTGTGGGGATGTGGTTATGGGTACGGTGGGACGGGCTGGGGATCCTAAAGGTCTTCCCCCAACCTCAGTGATTCTGTTCTACGATTTTCAGCCACATACTGGGCGAGGGAAAGGAAGTGCACAGGCAGGAACAAACAGAGCAGATAGAGCTGCACGTAAACACAGGAAGTGTTTGTCGAAGGGAGCAGTTAGGTGGGCAAGGGGGAAATAGCAGCAGCCACACTGGAAACAAAACACGTAACAACAGCCTCAGAGAAAAGCTGTCCTGTAACAACACACGCATGCTGGAAATGGGATCAGGAGCAGCTGTGGGCAGAGGAACTCAGCACACCCTCCCCATGCTCATGCCATCACTCCTGCTATTCCTCCTTGTTAGATGACCCTTCCCCAGTGCCCATTCCCTCATCAGTCAGAAACTCCTGCAGACCAAAGGCGGCCGATCCTCATAATTAACTCAGCAAAGCAGAGCACCTATAAGAGCTCCTTTCCAGCACATGTGAACGCAGCACAGGGCCTGGCTGCACATGGGAATGAAGGGCAGAGCAATATTGAGCCTGGACTCTTCCCTCTTCTCAGCTGTTCCTCCTCTCCAAGAAAGCATGGAAGTCCTCAAAGCCTTCAGACTAGAGATACATCAAAACCAAACACCCAACAGAAACCAAATACCCAGCAGACCTTTAGCTGAGAACTCTCATTCTGTGTGCAGCCGGACATTTCCCTGAGCCCCAAACGTTTCTGATTTGAAAGTTATTTCTGCAGCTGCCAGCAGGCAGCCCACACTCCAGCTCTACGCTACGGCGCTCGGTGTGTTTATCCCCTGTGTCTCTCACCAGGTTCTCACTGCACGCATACGCTTTCAAGTTGGCAGCTGGAGATAACAGCAGGGAGGACTGAGGGTTGGAGCAGCTCTGGGGCTCACCGCCTCTGCTCCAGAGCTGCTCAAAAGCAAACTGCAACAAATCCCTGCTGCTCCCTTGCAAGCTATGTTAGATCTTCTTCCTTCAATGAGTCTGGGAGTTGGAAGGCAACAAGCAAGGCAGGGGGCTGCAGGAGAACAACTCCCAGTGAGGCTGCAGGGTTCAGCCCAGCTGTGTTACCATCCCAGCAATGCCCAACCCTCAGGTTGAGGGTTGCACCCATAGGAGGTGATGGAGGCACGAGGAGCAGCCCTGCACCATCTTCTGCCTGTGCCCTGCAATTCCGCTACGCAGCCGTGTGAGCAGCTTAGTCATTTATTTAACGAAAAGCTTTTAATTATCTCTCTCACACACACGCATTACGTGGGGCGGGGAAGGGGAGGACATAATCAGCCTACAACGGGTGACCCGCGTGTTCAAAGGAATTGTGTTTTTCATAGAAATAGCCAACTAGATCAAAGCTGCTGCTGCTGAGCCCTGCCCCAGGCTGCAGGCTGCATCCACGGTGCGCTCTGCTGCAACTGTAACTCATGCTGAGCCCATGCCCGGCTTCAGGCAGAAAGGTTTCTCCTGAAGCAGCTGCAGGCATGGTGAAGGAGGTCAGTGCATGGCTTGCACCTGCTGGCAGCCGGGCTGATGCAGTGACATCACACAGCACTCATTCTCAACGACAGATGGAAGGGAGAACTCTGCAAAGCGTTGAGCTCAGGGGCCGTGGGGGGGCTGAAACCCCCTGGGAGCACCAGTTAGAACGCTGTGCAGCTCAGCAGGACGGCGATGGGGACGTGCTGCAAGGTGTGCTTGCTGCAGACACAACAGCTACAGCAAGTTTGCACAGGAGTGTGTATCAGAACTGCAGCAGAATCCAAAAGAGTGCGACTGCTCGCACCCAAAGCCCACACAATTTCCCTCCCTGTGGAACCTCTGCATTCAAAAATAAAAATGAAATTAAAAACACAAAAAAAAGGGATTTAGTGCAGAATTAAAAATCTTTGGGTTTAATACATAATGTCAGAGGAATTACAAAAGCAAAATTTCAAGTAAACAGCAAACAGGCGTAAACAACCGACTGAGCGTAAGGAAACTAATAATATTAATCTGGATTAACTGCAAGCCATGGACATTCCTACCTAATCCACCCGATGGACAGACACAAATCCCTGCCATGCCGCATCCTACAGCTCTTGGCAACGTAAGGAACCACAGAACTGATCAGAACAGAGCAACAGATGAGAAGAATACAGCAAAATCTTTACGTGCGGCTGCCTGCTTAATCTACAGAGGATTACAGCGAAAGCCAAGCACCAGGAGAGCAGAACAAGCATTGCAAAACATCGCCGAGCCCCAACCGTGAGCTCCTCTCGATGCAGAAAGCGTGGCATGGGGCTTCCCAAGGAGCTGCAATAGGGGAGGGTGGAATAACACAGAGCTGGGTGAGAGCAGGGCAGTGCTGGCACCTCTGGATGCTCTGAGAAGTTGCACTGGAAGAAGCGCAGCCAGGGAAAAGGCGGTAAATTCGGAGATGAGTATCAGAGCACAAAGGGTGAGGAAGAACTGGAAGCTATTCACACCCATAGCACTGCTGTAGCACTCCTATGAAGGACCCCTCACATTAAACCAATGCCTGTAACAGCTCCACCTCGTTGCCCTTTGCTACCAGAACCCCAGGAGGATTCAGTGAGCAGAGAATCACAGCATCACCAAGGCTGGAAGAGCCCTACAAGACGAAGAGCACACACACATCTCCCATCTAAGCCCCCCCATACACACACACAGGCCACACATCCCTACTCTGACTTCAGAGCAGAGCAGCTGACACCCCATGGCTCAGTGCCCGCGAGCTGCACAGCACCGCCACGCTTTGATCGCTAATGAATGAATTTGTAAACGAAGCTGCTCAGCACAGAAACACAGCATCTATCAACCCCACTTTGCATCCATTTCAATATTTGCTCAGCAAGCAGCAAATGGAGAATCGGAACAGACATGGTGTGTTTTGCTGCTTTCCCCAAATCAAACGCTGTCAATTGCAAGCATCACATCCAGAATGCCAGGCTGGAGTGTAACTCTTAAAGCACTTCTAGGCTGGAGCAGCACAAGGTGCTCACAGAGGGGCAGTGAAGAGCTCTCCCTCCTCCTTCCACACCAATAGAGGTGCTGGGAAGGAGCTTTGCCCCCCATCTCTGCTGCTGCACTGTCGAGAGGGATTTGGTGCGCATCGTGATTGGGAGAGCAGATCAGAATGCAATTCTTGCTGTTCTTCTGACCTGGAATGATGCAGGAGGAACAAAAAAAAAAACAAAGAATACTCAACATTTCTCCCTGCTTGATAAGTCTGATCTGGCTTTAAAAGTAAGGAGTGCTGTGTTTATCCCAAATTCAACCTTGGCAGCAGACGATGTTTGCCAAGAACCCCCGAACACAGACTTCACTGGGCAGCTTTGCCATGTCAGCAGAAACTGACTGACCTCACAGCCTTAATTCACACCAACCCACAGCACAGATGCACCCAGAGGTGCTCAAGGTTGGCACCATTTGCACGTAACGTTCCATAAAAGCATCATCTGCAAAGCAGAGCATCCCCACTGCCACAAGCACAACACTGCAGGAAAACCTTCAGCGAGCTGCCAACGCCGTTATGGCACAAAGAGCAGCTCCACATCCACGTGGGGCAGAACCTGGAGCAGCAGGACTGCAGCTCCCACCCAGCAGGTCTCCTCCCCTGGGGTCCCACAGGGATTATCTGACGTTCATTACTGAAGAGTAGAAACTAAAATCTGCCCCGGAATTGGGACAGCCTTTAAGAACTGAGCTCCGTGCTGCCAGCCGCGCAGCTCTCAGCACACGAAGCTTTAGGGGGGACCCTCAATGCAGCCCACCCCAAGCCCACGGAGCAGGCAGCGAGCGCAACACAGCACACAGCACACAGCACACAGCACACACCTCCCTGCAGCGTCAGCTCCCTCCCAGCCCTTCGAACTGCTCCTACCACAAACCTCGCATTGCCTAGGATAAAACCCAGCAGCAGCGCTGTGCTGCAGGTGCACTGCTGGGACCTCCATCGCATTGCCAACCACCTCGGCAGCCCCTCCAGCAAGCGCTCTCCTGCTGAGCGGCGGCCTCGCAGCACTCAGTGCTCCATCACACACACAGGCTGTGCAATGCACGCACAGCCTGCACACTGCGCACGGACCACAAGCACGGTGCAAAGCACCAGCACACACACATGCAGGCACAGCAGAGCTTGCACAGCGCGCGCACCACGACACGCGCGCACATGCAATCCGTGCATCAGCCGCGCGCGCGCACCGCGCGTGCAGGGAGCTCCCTTTGCACGCCCGCACCCCTCGCGTACACGCGGGCTACGCATCACGCACGCAAACCGTGCACACACAACGCATGCACCGAAGCGCCCAAACGGCCAAAAAAAAAAAAAAAAAAAGAAAAAAAAAACCCACACAACAACGGCGCGCGCCCGGACGCGCCATACCCGCGCACACGGCCCCGCGTGCACGCGCACTTACCCACCCGCCTCTGCCGCTCCTCACGCAGCGCACCGGGGCTCTGCGAAGAGCCCTCGGTGCGCTGCCGCCTCGGGGCCGGGCCGAGCCGAACCGAGCCGAACCCAAGCAATCCGAGCAGCGCCGCTCCGAGCCCCTCCGCGCCTCCCGGCAGCGTCCTCCCGCCTTCCTCTCGCCCTCCCGCCCGCACTCTGGCTCTGCCCCCGGTCCCGCCCCCACCCACAACACTGTAGTAAGTTCCCATTGGTAGATCTCAGGGGGCGGGACGCCGCGCCGCCCTCCTATTGGCGGAAGGGAAACGGCGGCTGTCGGGGAGGGCGGGGGAAGAGTCCCTTCCCCCCCCCCCCCTCCCGCTTTCCCCTCAGGGCTCTGAGCAGAGCGGCGCGCCGAGCCGCTGCCCGCCCCGTTCCCCCGCAGCCCCGCGGCGTTACGGCCCGCAGGGACCGGGCTGCAGGCGCACACATACGGCCGGGAGGGGCTCCGTCTCAACGGGGGACGGCAGAAAAGGGGCAGAAAGGCGTTCTCCCCTCGGTATTTCCCAAGCGGCCACCTCCTCAGTGACCCAGATTGCGGAGCAACGTCTGAAGGAGAGAGCTGAGAGGGTTACCTCAGGGAGACGGAGAGAGGAGCCGGGGTGAGGGGGGAAAGGCGCTCTGAAAATCATTTTGTTGCTTAATTCAACGTGAGTTACACCAAAAACACCGACAACACGTGTGCTGTGAAGTGCTGGCTTCTTCCCGCACAGCCCCAAACTGACCTCTGAAATCTCAGAGGAAGCAATGGAAATTTCTTACATTCTTCACTATAAGAACATTTTGCCTCGTGCCAATATCGCAAATATTTTAAGAACTCCCCCCTGGTTTAAATCGCTTCTAGGAGCCCCTTAGAGATGGGGAATTACTTTAATAAGTCAGGATTTCTTGGTATTCAGCTGCTGCATATGGACTAAGGAAAGGAATCACATCCACGCGAGGCATTTGTTTGTGACCTCTGAGGCAGGGCTGCTCTGATCCTCAAGCATTGCTCAGTGCAAACCGACCAAGACTGATGCCCAGCACCCCAGCTGTGTCTGTGCAATGGGCACACAACCAGCAAACAGCCCTAAGTCCTCCTGCAGCATCTTAAAAGCTCCTCGGCACCAGATTAACTCCAGCTGAGGTAAGTTCTTCATAAAAATATCCTTTGTAAGGTGATCCGATGCCCTGCTGGTAGGATTTGTGCATTAACATAGAGCCCCCACTTTGCCATTGCTGATGAACAATGCGTTCAGAGCATTATCAGCACAAATAATAAACTTCACATAGCTCTCCATACCCCGAGGAGCTTCTCTAAGTGAGGAATTCCCAGTCTAAACAAAGGAACGATGTGGCGTGCTGGCATTGGTGCTTCCTTCCCCAAAAGCAAGGAGAATTTAGGATGAAGAGAAATAGTCAGGATTGCTCCAAGCCCTAGGAAAACAAAGAAAGGAAGCTGGCCAACTGGATCATTTATAAACCACTGTTCTAAGCAAGCTGGTGGTATGTATGCTGTACATATTGCATGCACAGTAGGCATGTTCAGCTTCCGTGCCACTTTGCTAGCAGGAGAGCATCTCGAAGGCAGCAGCAGCCATTTCACAGAGCAAACAAGGTGGGAGGAGAGCAGGTGGCTTTGCTGTGCCACTGCTGGCCCTCTGCCCTTGGCTCCTCTTCCAGATTCAGTGTCACCATCAGCGGTGCAGAGCTGGCCGACAGCAGAGGGCCAGGATGAAGCATAAAGGAAATCTGCCTTCAACTTCACAAGCATGGTTTTACTGTGAAACAAACAGCGACGGAGAGCAAAGACAGCTCTGATAAAAGATTTACCTCGGAGGAAGGGGCACTTCAGCTAACGCTGAGTTTCTCCAGTGCTCACATCTTGATTCAGTGGTAGACAGCCAAAAAAAAAAAGCCTGTAGTAATCTTCCTCCAACAGACTAAACTGCAAATTCAAGAAATATTCACAGAATCACAAAGAAAGAGCAAACGCTGCATCACTCTGCTGCAACATGCGTGCACTGTGGTGGCAGCCTGGGACTTCCACGCTCACCCAGCACCGTACCAAACACTGCTGCAGAGATAAACCTCCTCCAGCCTGCCACAGCACTCCAAAACCAACAACCAATTCACTGCTGAGCAGGTTATTTAAGGGACAAACAGCACGCTCCATAGTCAAACAGCCTTAGCGACTTTGCTATTGCGAATCCACTTGGCAGCATGGCAGCAAGTGCCAAGCTGTGCTCAATCCAAGCTGCTGCTCCTGGTCTTTTCTATGTGATCCTCTATTGGAGCGTTTTTCTCTTTTTTTTATTCTTTTCAAACCACAGGAATTGTGCCATTTAAAGACCATCGTTGCAGAATTAAAACCACATGTTCTTTCTTGTGGGCATGAGAATCCAGCCACTCTGTATTTTTGGAACTGGGTTGGTGTATGTGGGTGCCTTCTAGGGAGATGGGGAGGGCAGAGGGGAAAGCTGGGCTGGTTCCTCTACACATAGGAATTCCAGTCCCAGAACCCAGTGATTTTAAGCCCCATCACTGATCTGAAGGAAGCCCATGTTCAGTTGATACAGTGTTTTGCTACACAGCAGACCAGCTCCAAGGAGGAGGAGGAATAAAATAGATGCAGAGGAGCATTGACTCTCTCCAGGCTGTGTGCCAGCACAGGGAACAGCTCCCTGGAAAGTCAGCTTTGTTCCAGGGCTTAGAGACAGCATGCAAAGCATGTTTCTGCCAAGATGCCCCATTTAAAGATTAGAGGAGGTCAGCTTAAGATTGCAGGATTGAGTTTTCATATGGCGAGCGTTTCTACGCTGAGAGGGAAATACTTTTCCCTGTTAAGTTTGAGTAGGAAGTATTAAGCATACAAGTGACTGCTCTTAAAGGAGCTAGAAAGTGCTTAGAAACCCCAGGGCACAGATTACAAGCAATGCTATGAGTACAACCAGTGCATGCTCAGGAAAAGTTGGTGTGGAGCTGTCATGGGAAGAGCCAGCACACAAGAGACAAGAGATACTGACCATCAGGCTGTGAGCTCTCCCTCATTTCAAGCACTTACCACTTCTTCATTCCCTAACAGCCTTTGTGGAAAGAAGACACGACCAGAAATAGAGGAGCATGCTCACAGTGTGCCCGTGCTCCCTATCCATCGCTTATCATTCCAGGAGGTGCTGCTAAAAACCTTGGTGTTTGGGCAGCAGGAGCCCTGTGCCAGCCTTCTACACCAAACAGGAGCAGCCAGCTTGGCCAGGGACACAGCTGTCACTTCAGCAGGGGACACGCTCAGCTATGCAGCCTTTGTTGAAATAAACCTAAAAATAACACTTAGTGCCACCTAGGGACCAGCTCTAAGGCAGGGACTCAGAAGAGCCAGACCACAAACAAAGAATGTCAGTGGCTGATTTACTCCTTGCACGGTTGAGAAGTCAAACTGCAGCAAGGAGAGGCAGTTTAAACAACACCAGCAAGGTGTGGTTTGCACCGCAGCTTCTCATCCCACGGTAAGGCGAAGCTTTCACAACAGATTGTTCAAGCACGGATTTGACTCCGCACTGCTGCTCCCCCAAGCTGGGCAGAGCATCCCTTGGCTCTGAGCGTTTGAGTTCAGCAGACAGAGAGAAGCAACCATTCCTCGATCAGAGTTTATGGAAGAGCAACATCAGCCTAGCAGCAAGCTACAGCCAGGTGCTCAGAAGAGCTCTCACCAACAGAACATCACACAGAAGCTGGACCTGCACATTAGAGGGGGATACCTGCCCAGAGCAACCAGAGACATTCACCATGGAGCAAATACTGCTTGTAAGCAGAGCACAGCCCACCTCACCTCTCCGTAAGTAAGAGCTGAAGCACCCTGCTCAGTGCTGCTCCCCCACCTCCCTCCCTGGACCTTGCAGGGTTTGTCTTAAGCTACTAACGGGATCAGATTTGTCACCCTGAGTCCTCTCTCCAGATGATCCCACAGCCTAATGCAGCATAGCCACAGCCTGCTGAGAGAGGCAGTTCTGCAGGTGCGCAGTGATTAATTGGTGCACATTTCCATATCACAAATGAAAGAGAAAGAAAGAAAGAAAGACTTCTAAGCTCGGTTGAAATGCAGTATATTAACCTCTGAAAATGGCAGTCATGGATACCAGCTTCAAAAAGATTAATATCAATAGGGCAAAATCCCAAAGGGTAGCATCACATCGCCACCAGTTTCTCTGAATCCTTACAAAATACAGCATTTTGAGGCTTTATTTAAGGTCGTGTATTTCCCTGCTCGTTTTAGGAAGGAAACCTGAAGCAGCTGTGAATTATAGGCAGAACCCAAACACTGGAGTCAAGAGGAAAGGGGAAAAATCAGAAGGCCTGAGGAAAGCTGTGGGTACGGATGAAAAAGCAGGAGGGGAAGGGGTGAGGAAGAATGCTGCAACTGCTGCCATTGCCACAGCTAACAGCCGAAAATCAGCCTGCAGAAGAGGTTTGTTACTGAATCAAACAACGCAGCTCAGCTGTGTGGCACATTCTGCAGGTCCACAAAGGCACGGCTGCAAGTCAACACAGTGCACACAGCAAACCTTTCGAGTGGGAGATGCAGCAAGAGCTGCGGAAGCCAAATCTCACCCCTGCGTCCCTCTTCCAGCACACACCGCATCAGAAAGGAGCTAATAATCGTTAAGCTGCCATCTTTTATTTCTAATTATTTGCCTCCACAGCAGGGTTCCTGCAACCATCAAGTAGGAAGGAAGCAAATCTCAAGGGAATAACGGCTTTGAAGGGGGCTCGCAGCTGCCACTGCGTGAATGGCTCTCCAAGAACAGCGGCAACTGCTGCACGCTGCCCACAGAGCTGGAGCAAAGCATCTCTGTTAGGGCTGGATTGCAATGTTGATTTTTAGGTCAACTACAACAGCTTTTCTTATGCAACAAAGGATACAGAAGGCTCACATGCTTTGAGGTTTCTTGTTGTTGGGGTTGTTTTTTATTTGCTTTCATTTAATTAGATGGTAATTCAGAAGGCAGCGCTGCTATTTTAAACACTACAATGAGAAGTGTTTCATTGCCTTCGAAGCAGTGAAGTGGAAGCAGTTAGCAAAGCCAACCCTAGAACTTGGCACTGCATTCTGACCACCTCTTCTGATGGGGTGGGACAAACAGAAGGCATCCCCTGCTGCCT